CCACATACACCTAAGGTGGCGGGTTCGAATCCCCAGCCCGGGCCCGCCAAACAACAATGATGGCTGCAACCAAAAAATGGCCAGGCGTTGTGGTGGGCGCCTGTAGTCCCAGCTACTTGGGAGGCTGAGGCAGGAGACTCGCTTGATCCCAGAAGATGGAGGTTGCTGTGAGCATGATGCCATGGCACTCTACCCAGGGGGGATAGCTTGAGGCTCCGTCTCAAAAAATAAATAAATAAATAAAATACTGCATCCAAGAAAATTGTTTTTAATTAAATGAAGGAGAAATAGTCTGGGCACGGTGGCTCACACCTATAACCCTAGCACTTTGGGAGGCAGAGATGGGTGGATTACTTGAGATTAGGAGTTTGAGGCCAGCATGAGCAACAGCGGGACCCTGTCTCTACTAAAAATAGACCAAAAAATTAGCTGGGCATTATGGTGGGTGCCTATAGTCCCAGCTACTCAGGAGGCTGAGGCAAGAGGATTGCTTGAGCCTCGGAGCTTGAGGTTGATGTAAGAGATTAATGATGCCCTGGCACTTAATCCAGGGCAACTGAGTGAGACTCTGTTCCAAAAAGTAAAAAAATAAAAATAAAATTTTTTTAAAAACAAAAAATAACTACAACTATAAAAATATTTTAATGGATATACAGGAGCTGGGCATGGTGGCTCACACCTGTAATCCTAAGACTCTAGGAGGCCAAGGTAGGTGGATTACTTGAGCTCAGTAGTTTGAGACCAGCCTGAGCAAGAGTGAAACCCCATCTCTACTGCAAAAAATATATATATAAACTAGCCAGGCATCATAGCAGGCACCTATAGTCCCAGCTACTCAGGAGGCTGAGGCAAGAGGATTGTTTGAGCTTAGGAGTTTGAGGTTGCTATGACCTGTGAGGATGTCATGGCACTCTACCCAGGATGATTGAGTGAGATTCTGTCTCAAAAAAGAAAAAAAAAGTATTATACATATAATATAAAAAGATGTAATTTGTGGCATATTTTGCCAATATATGTCATATATCTGATAAAGGAGCATAAGTATCTCCTACAATTCAATAATAAAAAAAAAATTCCAAAAACCTGATTTTAAAATGGGCAAAGCTTTTTAAAAGGCCAAAGGACTTACGATATTCCTTTAAAGAAGACATATAAATGGCCAACATATGAAAAAATGCTCAATGTCACTAATCATAAAGGAAATGCAAATCAAAACCACAATGAGGGCCGAGAGGGTGGCTCACACCTGCAATCCTAGCACTCTGGGAGGCTGAGACAGTAGGATCATTTGAACTCAGGAGTTTGAGACCAGTCTGAGCAAGACTGAGACCCCATCTCTTTTAAAAATAGAAAAATCGGCCAGGCATTCTGGCAGGCACCTGTAGTCCCAGCTACTTGGGAGGCTGAGGCAGGAGGATCACTTGAGCATAGGAGTTTGAGGTTGCTGTGAGCTAGGCTAACACCACGGCACACTAGCCCAGGCAAAAGAGCTAGACTCTATCTCACAAAAATGATAACCACCACCACCACTACCACAATGAGGTGTCACCTCAGACCCATTAGAGTGGCTACCATCAAAAGAAAAAAAAAAATTGAAACCCCTGCATACTGATCATGGGAATGTAAAATGGCCCAAGAGTTCTTCAAACAATTGAAAGTAAACTACCATATGATTCAGGAGTCCCCTTCTGAGTATCTCTCCAAAACAACTGAAAATGGAATCACAAAGAGACATCCGTACTCCCCTGGTCATTGTAGCATTATTCATAATAGCCAAGATGTAAAAACTACCTAATGTCCAAGAGAAGAATGGGTAAAGAAAATGTATTGCATATATACCATGGAATATTAGCCTTTAAAAAGAAGGAAATAGGCTACAACATGAATGAATCTTAAGAACATTATGCTAAAAGAAATAAGCTAGTCACAGAAGGACAAATACTGCACTATCTGCACTTATATGAGGAATCAAACTCTTAGACACAGAAGCAGTGGTTGCCAGGGCTGGAGGGAGAAGGAAGGAGGAGCTGCTGTTCAGTGGATATAGTTTCAGTTGTGCAAGTTGCCAAAGTTCTAGAGATCTGCTGTATGACCAAAGCACTAGGAAACCCCTGGAGTGCTGGTTTCAGCTTCTTTTTTATTAATTGACACATCGTGATTGTACATATCCATAGGACATAATTTGATGTTTGGATGCATCTATATCGTATAATGATCAAATCAGGATATTTAGTGTTTTCATTATCTCTTGCATTTATCATTTCTTTGTGGAGAGAGTATTCAAAAGCCCCTCTTTGGGCTATATTGTTATCTACAGTACCTTATCGCTAACCATCTTCACCTTCTATGCTGTGGAACGCCAGAACTTATTCTCCTATCTGACTGTAACTTTGTACCCACTGACCACGCTCTCCTCCTCTCTTTTCCTCCTTGCTCTCCCCAGTCTCTGGTAACCCCTCTTCACTCCCTGCTCCCAAGAAATCCACCAGATCAACTCATTCTTTTTCTTTTTTAGCTCCCACAGTGCACTGAGATTATGTGATATTTGTCTTTGTGTTCCTGGTTTATTTCACTTAACACGAGGTTCTCCCGGTCTCAAATGATACAATTTCATTGTTTTTTATGGCTGGGTGGAATTCCACTGTGAATATGCACCACATGTTCTTTATCCATTCATGCATTTTGGGACAGTTGGGTTGATGCCACACCTTGCCTATTGTAATCACGCTACAGTAAGCATGAGGGTGCAGCCATCTCTTTTGACATATTCATTTCATTTCCTTAGGATGTATAACCAGCAGTGAGATTGCTGGGTAGTATGGTACTTCTCTTTTTAATTTTTTTTTTTTTTGAGACAGAGTCTCACTATGTCACCCTCAATAGAGTGCCATGGCATCATAACTCACAGCAATTTCAAACTCTGGGGCGTAAGCAATTTTCTTGCTTCAGCCTGCCAAGTATCTGGGACTACAGGCTCCCACCTCAATGTCCAGCTATTTTTACGTTGCAGTTGTCACTGTTGTTGAGCTGGCCTGGGCCATAGTTGAACCCACTGGCCTCGGTGTATGTGGCTGGTGCCCTACCCACTGAGCTACGGGTGCCGCCTATTTTTAATTTTTTAATCTCCATACCGTTCTCTGCAGTGGCTGTACTAACTGTTTCTTGATAATGGAGGGTGACTAGATGGGCATAGTTTTACTTTCTGGAAATTCACTGATCTGACCCCTTTTGGACTTGTGCATTTTTCTTCACATATAATGTAACAAATAAGTTTTTTTTTTAAAAAAAAATAGAAATATACCTTATCAGATATATATAGACATATACCTTATCAGATATATAATTTGCAAAAATATACGAAGGCAAATGATGTTGGATGGATGGGTAAAGGGATGATGGGTGGTTGGACAGACTGCTGAGTGGACAAGCGACCAGGCTCACCTCCTATACTATACACACCCTCTCCCCACAGGGTGTGAGGTTCATGCTAGTTTTATGTTCTAACAGTGACAGGGACAAGCAGGACCACGGGCTGTGGCTGAGCTTTAATAGGACTCATACCCATGGCTTTCCCGGAGACTTTCCAAGCCTTGACGTTCTGGTCCTGGCCAGCACTGATCACCAGCTGGAAGCTGTCCACATATAGGATGTCTACCACGCTATCCAAATGGGCCTTCCAGGTAATCAGGAGCAGCGGGGGAACCAGAGAGATGGTCTGGCCAGCCACAACCTATAGAGGACAGTGAAGGAAAACCACTTAGAGCACAGCCACCACACAGGCTCATGAGAAGGCACACAGGACTGGAGATGGCACAGCCCTGCGATGCTGGCCGGGGCTCTAGTTCTGAACACATTCCACATTAACTTGCTGGTGATCTTAAGTAGGTCCCACCACTTCTCTAGCCCTTATTGGCCCCTTAGGTAAAACCATAAAAAGAATTTACACATGGCTGTATGGTTTACCAAGTACTGCTGAACATTGCAACCTTATAGGAGGTGGATGATTCTCACCGTCTCACAGAGGAGAGAATGAGAGTCAGAGATGTTTACCAACCAGCCCAAGGCCACATAGCTTAGAGAGTGATGAGGCCAGGATGTCAGTCCAGATCTTCTGAAGTGTCTCAGCTGGGCACTAGGAGAAGAATAGGGCTAGCACAGGGGGTGATATATCACATTATGCTATGAGAATAAAAGTCTACTGAACTGGAATATGAGTGAACACTACCAGGTTCATTTTGAAATTAAACATGATTAATGAAGGGGGGACTTAGTCAACCACATTCAAGGATGGAAAGTCAGAATGATACAAACTGTAAGCAGAGCCACAGAAGATAACAGAGGGCTCAGAAACCCAATGTATGTAAAACTTTGGGGTATGATCAAAGGAATAGAAAGCGTGACTCAATTAGCAGGACTGGACACTTGAAGTACTAAGAGAAGTCGTTATCTTATATCTTACCACAAAATGAACACCAGAAGCATTGAAGATTTATTTTTAATGAAATCATAAAACATCTAAGAGGAAAAAACGAGTGAATGTTTATCTTATCTCTGAATAAGAAATCAATAGGCAATAGAAATATCTCTATGGGGGAAAAAACTGACCAAAAAATAGATTGTAATTTTAAAATCATTATACATAAAATTAGCAGGCAAATGATAAATCCAGGGGAGAGGGAATATTTGCAATATAGATGATAGATGATGAAATAATCTTTTAATATATTTGGAATGATTTTATATCATTTATAAAAGATACTATAATATAAAAGTAGGCAAAAGAGGCCAAGTGTGGTAGCTGCTGCCTGCAATCTCAGCACTTTGGGAGGCCAAAGTAGGAGGATCACTACAGGCCAAGAGTTTGAGAGCAGCCTCAGCAACACAGTGACACCTTGTCTCTACCAAAAAAAATAGAAAAAATTAGCCAGGCATGGTGGCATATGTCTGTAGTCCCCGCTATTCAGGAGACTGAGGCAGGAGGATCACTTGAGCCCAGAAGTTTGAGATTGCAGTGAGCCAGGATGATGCCACCACACTCTAGCCCAGGCAACAAAGTGAGACCTGTATCCAAAAAAAGAAAGTATAGAGGCGGCACCTGTGGCTCAAAAGGGTAGGACACTGGCCCCCTATGCTGGAGGTGGCAGGTTCAAAACCAGTCCCAGCCAAAAAAAAAAAAGTATTGGCCGTCCTCAGCTTGCATGCCAGGAGAGTCCAGGCCCGGGGCCCCCGGGCTTCCCGGGTCTGTATTAAATCTCATCTTATGCCCTTTACATTGGAGTGAGTCTCGAGTTTGTCGGTTGGGGTTGATTTGGGAGGCTTTCTCAGACCCAACATTTTGGTTCCCTGACCGGGAAGACTCCCATCCCCCATCTGGGACTTACTTCGACACCGCTCTGGAGGTGAGATACGTGTGAATGGGTTTGTGTTTAGTATGCATGTCGGCAGGCCCTGAGTGAGACATTCCTTCCTACATTTTCTGTTTCGGTCTCTTGTGTTTCCTTGTGAGAGTCAAACTGTTGTTAAAGTTTTTTCTTGGAGCTTTTCCCTGTTCTGGAGGGGATAGAGGCTAGATCAGACGTGGTCAGTGATGCTTTTCCCCTACCGGGGTATGAAGACGTTCGCCCCGGTCTGGTCTGGGTAATTCTGGTCAGGTTGATCCGATAGCCTGCTGGTCAGGGGGTCGGAAAGAGTGCCTGTCGGTGAAGCGTACAATTCCGGTCGGTGAAGTGTAATTCTGGTCAGTGTCGGGTAGGAATTGCTCCTATACTTTTCTTATTAGGTCTGTCTAAAGAGTCTTTTTGTTTGGATGTCTTGTGTTTACTGTGCATTGTGTTTTAGTTGTCTGGATCGGGTAACATCTCTGGATCTAGGTTTCCAATATTGTGTGGAATGCAATTCTTCTAGGTAGGCGGGGGCCTTCTAGGAGTGTCTGGTTCTAGCGTAACCCTTCTGGTTTGGGTGTAATTCTTCTGGCTAGATAGATCCAACAGCCGGGAATGTCCAGTTGTAATTAATGTCCTGTGTTTATTGTTTCTTGTGTCCTGCTTGTCTCTATACTTGGTCAGGGCCAGTGTGGGTTTGAGTCCCCCTAGATAGTGTAAGGAAAGGGGGGGGACCTGGAAACATATGTCTGGTTTGTCGTGTTTGTGCCTTGTCCTGTGTCGTGCTTGTCTCTGTAAAATGGGACTCAGGTGCCCCGTCCTTGAATGTTGTGTGATGAGCCAGGTTCTGTTCACAACGCAGATCACCCCGGCAGGGAACTCCTGCTGGTCTGGCCATGCGATCCTCAGAGCGCTCCTGGGACAAATTCTCCCAGAGGAACGTCTGGTC